TAGCAGGACTGTGGCAGATACATCTGGATACTTTGTCTCCGGGAGCAAGTCCATGTTGAGGAGGGTGGTGCACTTGGTAAATCAGATTAAATACTCCTTTAATACTTAATTAACTCTCTTTAGCTCACTCCAGGCAGAAAGCATCTGCATAAAGGTGAGGTGAGGTTACAGAACATCTCTGGAAGTTCATGTGAGAAAGAAGAGACAGGGATGGAGTGGTCAGGAGAGGCTTGACTGAGGGCCTAGAGCTTCTGCAGACCCCTAAGGCCTCTTTCCTGCACTGTCAATGATTATTATTGGCCTACTGCTGAGTTCCAAGAACAGGAGCAAGCTACAGTTTAGGGCACATTATCTCTTAGTTATCCCAGGCCTCAGTGCTATGGTTGGGGTAGTTTCATATGTGTTTACACATCTGCACATGTGCATGTATGCATAATTTTTTGCTACCTTCTTCCTTGACACTATCTCTTAGTTTATTTTATTGGATATTACTTACCATCTTCTATCACACTGTATAATATACTTGCTTATTTTATTATCTTTCCCCCTCTTCAGAATATAAAGTTCATGGAGACAGAGATTCTTGTCTGTTTCAGTCCCTGTCATATCCTCAGCACCTTAGAACACTGCCTAGATCAGAGTGGGCATTTAATCAATAGAGACCGTTTCCCTAAACAGAAAAATCCTGATAGGCCATCTAAGAAACCTAGTATTTACCAGTCTACTATTCAATGTTCTGTGGCCAGTAGAACAGCAAATTATTAAGTTGCATGATCCTATATTTCTGGCCCTGGGTCTCCAAGAAGATAGATCCAAGAACAGTTTTTCTTCAAAGGTATCTTGTTATGTTGTCCCTGCTGCTTCTGAACCATGGGAATAGCAAAATGACAATGTTAGCACCATGTTGGCATCATTTGGAACTAGTAAAGCAGCCTGGTTGGCATTTCACTAACTAATGTCCTCTCCTGCAGAGGTTCTCAGCATGCTGATGAGAACCGGGCCCTGTGTAGGTTGTAGCTAGTTAGATGGCCCTATCATTGTGGGGGTGTTTCTGATGAATTGAAACTCATTCCCTCATCTTGTTCTGCTGCTGCCACAACTGCCATCCTGTTGATTCAAAAGAGACTGAGAATATGACCGTCTGAATTTCAGTGTCTGACATTGTGTTTCTTGGAAGGCTGTTGTTTCTATTCCACTTGTTATGTACCTTTTAAATAGCAAAAAGTTATACCCTTGCCTTGCTAGCCTTGGCTATACAGTAGATATTCTGGGTCTTCCAGAGCAGGATTTCTCAGGATTCTTAGACTAAGAGTTGTGTGATAATAATGATGGCTGCAGTTATTTTATTTATTTATTTATTTATTTTCGTGAGATGGAGTTTCACTCTTGCCGTCCAGGCTGGAGTGCAGTGGCTACATCTCGGCTCAGTGCAACCTCTACTTCCCAGGTTCAAGCAATTCCCCTGCCTCAGCCTCCCAAGTAGCTGGGATTACAGACACAAGCCACCACACCCAGCTAATTTTTTTGTAGTTTTAGTAGAAATGGGGTTTCACCATGTTGGCCAGGCTGGTCTCAAACTCCTTACCTCAAGCGATCCACCTGCCTCGGCCTCCCAAAGTGCTGGGGTTACAGGTGTGAGCCGCTGCGCCCGGCCTAGCTGCAGTTAATTGAGCTGTGATCACCAAGTGTTCACCTATTTCTTCAGCTCATGCCAGGGTCCGTGTTGAAGGCTAGGGAGCACGAGGATACAAAGTGAACTATGTGAACCAAAAGGCCAGTAGAATCTGCTGAAAACTGAGTAGTACAGGGCCAACCCAGATCCAAGATTCAGGTCAGCCATTGGGAGCTTCTTCCCTGTCAAATCTCACTGGTCCCTGCTACCTAGTGATTTAGGATGAATCCCTCTTATGAATTATGTTAGTAGGCACTTAGTGTTTACCGATGCTGTTACATGCTTCATAGTAAATTATATAATTTAATACATATAATAACCCTATTTTTATTTTCACCGTTAACCTTATTTTGCTGGTGAGGATACTTTGTCCAGTCATCTGTGTCCGTATAACTATTCAGGGCCTGGACTGCATAGCCATGCATAGTGGCCCTGAGATGCACAGAACTAGGGCTAGCCTGAGCCACTTGGTCCACCTTTGCGTGTCAGGATTGGCAAGAATGTTTAAATGGAGTCATGTAAGGCTAGAGTCCAGGTTCCTAGCAGGGATTTGAGCTTCTGTGTGAAGGCATGTGAAACCCCTGGATAAATGTGACACATCTTAGCTTGACCATTTTACCTCACTTTCATTCATGCTTATGTCCAGAGTGCTGTCCCTTATGGAACTCTGCCTGCTCCATTTCGAAAGAGGTAAGCGAGGCTCTCCTGCTTCCCCCAGGCGTCTGTAGAATACATAGAGAGAGGAGAACTGCAGCAGGGTAAACCACTAGACAACTTTTGGGAGGCATTAGGTATGAGTACCCAAGTAGAAGCAGTGACTTCTCTGTCCCCTGAATTCTCTGCACACATAGAAAGTGTGACCTGAGATGAGAGTTGAGGGTACAGGGATGATGAGAGCACGCAGCATGCTGGCAGGTTCACTGATTGCTGCTCTTATTACAGTTCTAAGGCAGTGTTAAATTAGCCAATTAATAAAAATGAACACACCATTGGAAGCTACATTTGTGTGGGGCTTTTTGTTGTTGTTGTTAAACTGGCTAATTTAACACCATCCGAGAGTGGTAGTGATGGTAATAGCAGCAGCCCACAAGTTCAGGAGAAGGTGGGGGTGATTCCCTCCTGAGCTTTCCCAGGCATTGCTCCATGCTCTGTGTCTTTACTCTGTGAGCAAATGGGATAAACAATAGCTAGACGTCCGCTGGCAGTCTTGGGACTCTGCAGTGCACTAGCCAGATCCCCATCATCATTGCTATACCACTTAGGAATGTTTCCCTGGCAGACTGCATTGCAGTCATTTTTATATACACATTCCCACACATGTAGCTGTCTATGTATTTCTTCATCCCTGGATACCATTCTAACAGTGGCTTTCCATTTGACTCAGAATGCAAGCTGGGTTCTTACCGTGGCCTGCAAGTGTGGCTTCTCTTCCCTGTTTTTTGTTTCCTCTCTCTGACCTCATCTCCTGCTCCTCCCACTTCACTGCCTCTACTCATGTGTTGGGGCCTTTGCACTCTCTTCTGGTTATCGTTATGGATCAGTCCTTCTACTACTTCACATCTTTGGTCAAATGCTACTTTCTCAATAAATGTTTCCCTAACCCTCCTCTTTAAAATCACGAAACCGCCCCATCCCCTCTCCCTCTTCCATAGCACTGTCCACCGTCTAACATAGTATACATTTTACTGGCTTGTCTGTCTCTCTTCACCAGGATGTTAAATTGTGAGAAGGTGTGAGGATTTTGGTCTGTTTTGTTCATTGCTATGTATATCTCCCCAGCATGTAGAACAATGCCTGGCACGTGGTAGGTACTTGATACATATTTGTTGAATGAATGGACTCTAGTAGTCATGGTATTCCCGTATGATATGGAAATCTATGTTGTATCCGTTTTCATTTCGCTCATTATGGGTAAACATCACCCAGCAGAAGAGTTCATTGATGTTCCGTCTGGTTCCCCTGTTGCCTCTCATCTGCTATCTATTCTCGCCCAGGTGGAAAAGAAGGAAGTGGAAACAGATCTGTTCTTCCAGCTGCTGGCCATTCGTCCTCTGGAACTTCCTGGGTGGCAAGATCAATCTAGCAGCACCTCTGCTTCTGTCGCTGCTTTCCCAGGCTCACATTACAATATGTAGGCCAATATTATCATTGCTGTCACAGACACCTTGTTTTTCTTAAGCTTTTAGAATGGATTCTCACTACTAATTTCCTAGCACCATGGTGGGCATAGGCAGTACCTAAGACAGATAGTAAGTGCATTGTGTGGGACTGCCCGCATTTGCTTTATTGGTCCTTCCTCACTAAATGCCATTAGTAGCGCACCGTCCCACCCCAGCTATTGCCACAACCAAAAATGACACCCAGCCCACACACAACGTACACATTAGAAAACACTCTTTGGAGGTTGATACTGTTCCTCCTTGCGGATCACGAATCTCTGCTAGAAGAAAGAAAGCATTGAATTCCAGTCATCTAGAAAAAGGTGGAGTGCAGAAGTTTTGCTGAGCATTGAGTCTCCACCTGAGGTTAAGTAATGATGAATAATTAATAAAGTGCAATCAGCCTGGTCATATGAGTTTTTCCATTCAGATGTATTCTATAGCCCCAGGCTCATCAGTAGCTGAGAAAATAGACATTAAATCTGTATCCACCATGATTCCTTGTGTTGATTCCTTTGTATTCCTCCATTAGGAAGAACAAATGGACCAGGTTGCAATCTATATTCAGATCTCCTCTGTGTTATATTTTAGGAGAGAGATTAGGACCAGACTGAGAGTCTTTAAGGGATTATATCAGGTGCTGCAGTGCTACGGTGAAATTGGAATGAAAACTCAACTTCTGTGAGATTCAGTACTTTTCTGCCAGCTGCCCAGAAACATCCTGGGATGAAGCTTAGGGGAATCCCAAGAGAAGTTTAGTCTTGGGAGAAGAGTTTTTTAGTACCAAATATGTCCTTTCCTCTCCACCTGGATTTGGGAGGTGTAGGCACATCTCTGGCAGAGGGTGCCTCAAACCCTAACAAAGTCAGCTTTCCTTCTTCCTGGCAAGAGAGGGCATTAATTAAATACTTAAGCACTATCATTCTGGACAGTGTAAATCACTCGTATGTGGGTCCACTGTAGGTTTTTCCACAGCCCTAGCGTTTTATCCTGATTGTTACTAAATGTGTAAATAATGTAAAATACATATATACCTGCTTCACAAAATTAAAACTACAGTACTTGTTTAACTTAGGAAGATCTAGTTGTAATATATTACATAAGTGTATTTTCTAAAAGAATCAATGAGAATTTTTTTCATACAGTAACTACAAATGGTGTTTACTTACATATTTTCTTCTTTACAAATAAAGCTGTATCATAGTAAGATCTAGATCCAGGCATCTTCATTCTGAACCACTTGAAAAGCAAGCTGAAACTTGAGAACAGAAGAAACCTAGAATGATAGCACAACAAATAAAATTAAATTCTTTGATTAAGTGTTTGCCACTGTAAAAAAACACGTGCAAAAGCACTCATTTTCAAGAGAAGAGGGAAGAAAGCAGAACCTAAAACCAAAACAACCAAAATTTAAATACTACTTTTGCCGTGTGAAATTGTCTAATCAGGCTCATTTTCTTCTATTGCCGTCATCAGCTTCTGTTTGTTCTGATGCTTCATTTTTAGTATCGTTATGGGCTTATGAAAGCAGAAAGATTGCCTGAGTTGGAACAAGCTTTTCTACCATTTCCTATGTGTCCATTCTCCACCAGAATAAATCAGTGCAAATGCCAGTGTCCGCTCCCTCACTAGACCTTTGAGACCTAGTTGGAAGAAAAAGGGTATATTTTATCAAGCTACATGAAAATCAACAGGACAACCTCCTGCAACAACAGAGTTGCCCTTTGTTGGCCGAAGCACCTCTTATCCTTACCTGTGCTAGCTGATTGGCCTGAATGCTCTCAGCACCTGCCCTGTGCGTAACATGATCTAACGCTATAAGCATCCTAAGATCATATTGCACAACTCTTGGAAATGAGTGAGAGAATTTAAAGGTAGAACAGCTACATTGGTACACATAATTTATGCCTTTTCTTGCTGTTACTAAAAAGAAAAAGTAATTCCAGAGAGTTCTAATATAAAGCTGAGGAACTCTTTGCATAAGGGAGTATGATGTATTCTCTCTCTGCTTGGAATTGTTGTGCTGGAAGGAAGATGGGGAAAGGGAATGAATATAGTCAAATAAATTAAGCCTTGAAACCCAAATAGTGCTGTGTAAGCAAACTGACTGCAAATCAAACAGAGGAGTGTTAGCTAAAGAATACATGATCTTGGTTGAGACTGAACAAAACCAGGTTCTTTGTATGTACGTATATATTTCTCTGGATGCGTGCAGAGTTGTTGCATTTCCACTCCCTTAATCTCGGACATCTTTGGCAAAATGTGTTATCTATCCATGAAGAAGAAAACTGAAGAGTGTATTTCCCCCAAATGGCAAAGCGTAGGCTTTATCAAATGTAGACACGCCTGTTGGCAGCAGAAAGCAGGATGTGTATGGCTTTTCTGTCTTTAGGAATGCCCATGCTTCCTATATTTCTTACCATTTTTCTGGCAAGCATATAAATCTGGAAGGTTAGGTTATGGTGTAGGTCATAACCATCAGGCCCAGTCTATTATCCATCCCCACTCTGCAGGCAGCTCTGACACCATTTCTAGAGCAGGCATTGAAAACTATCCAACTGTCTGGTTTTGTAGGTGAGGAAACAGCATAAAGAAATGGAGTGGCATTGTCATAGTTACAGACCGTGTCGGTGGCAAAGCAGAGGCTTCATCCACTGGACTTTCAGCTCTACAACTTGCAATCAGGCATAACATGTTCTTAACTTGCCTTTTTGAACAGACACCTCTCAGAGCCAAAGCTTCTCTAAGCATCAGTTCAAATGACTCCATAATCTCTTAGAGTCTGTAAAAAACTTGAGAGTAGAACATATTTTCTTCCTTCTTAGAACGTCAAGTCAAATCAACAATTACTTTATAGTTTATTGTGATGACTGCATTCTGTTTGATCTATTTTTCTCTAAGTTGTTAAACAGCCTTTGGCCAAAATCATTATGTTCTGACCTGAACAGGGAGATTGGAGCAGCTCTATTTTAAGCTGTGTGAAAATGCAAAGCATGGGCAGGGTGCAGCAAGTTGTTCACTTTGGATGGAATGTGGATGGTGGCTGAGTACCCAGAGATACGACTGGAGCAGCATATTTCTAATGGGGCACTAGTGGCATCTGGGTGGAACATTTCCTCCTTGTGGAGGACTTGCCGTGAATTGCAGGATGTTTACCCCTTAGCTTCCCTTCCCAAATCCCGTAGCACCCTTCTGCAATCAGAAACACCGAGAACCTCAGTCAGTCACCCTCAGTTTTCCCCATGCTCCCAGTGGGTGTTGCACAGTCGTTAGATCTGTTGGTTGGTCAGAGTGCTGGAGAAGGCAGAAGGTCGAAACGGAGGCAATACTGAAAACATAGTTCTCCTGGTTTAGGAACTAGCACTCTCCTTCTCAGTAAGATCAGTATTTATTGACATGGAATCCAGAGAGAAAACTCTCATGCCACTTTGATGCTTCATGCACAAGTTTGTGACAGGGATGGGGGTGGTGGGAAAAAATGTGTTTGCTGAAATCACGATGGAGCAAATCAGCAAGGAATGTAATTTCTGCTTTCATGTAACTATCACTTGTTGCCATCCATGCTGTATCTTTCAGGGAGCATGAATAAGTATGGCTTGATATACTCCTTTTCTGATTTCCCAGCTGTTGTCTGTTCTTCATGCTTCACAAACTTCAGCCAGAAACACATCCTAAGATCTAGGAGATGCAGGCCCTTTCTCCCTACTCAGCACCCTACCCCTGCTGGGTTATCCTCACTCCTGCCATGCTCTTTAGAATCCAAAGTATTCTCTAATTGTGTTGTATATATTTATCCATATTCAGTTTTTCTTGATGTACCCTGCTTTTACATTAGGATACGGTTACCGTGCATTTGCCAGGAAACTATAGTTCCTAAAAAATATTTCCAAGAGGTTATCTGTTGAAGTTAGTGAGGTCATTAGCTCTCTCATCACCAGTGTGGCCACCCTAAAGCCCTAGCTTGGACTATGATTAAATATGCTAAAACTCATCAGGAAGATTATCCTCCATAAATATTAATTTATATAATAACAGATACTTCTCAGGTGTTTTCCTATATGTATTTCCCCCTGGAGGCTTATTACAATACTGTGGGGTAGGAAGGGTTGCTGTTACCACCATTTAACAAGTGAGAACACTAAGGCTCTGTGAGGTTATTAGTTGGCCAGGGTCACACAGCTTAATTAGGGATGGACCTGGCACTTACCACTCCGCCATTTCCTCTCTCTCCTTTTCAGGGACTGAGGGAGGAGACCAATTTGATTTGTCCTCTTTAGATGTCAGAACAATGTTGCTTTTTTTCAAAGAATATTTTAAGCTTTTCAATTTCAATCTTCCATTGAGACAAGTTCTTTATTCTTCTGCTGGCAAATTGTGACCTCCTGTCAATCAAATATCTCTGTCCCCTTTCAACGACTCTACATTGGGTTTTGAAATTTGTCTCAGTAACACAGATATCTGCAGTTCGTGTTATCTGATAGATGTATGTAATGTTAGGAAAAGCCATTTCCACAATAGTAGGAAGTTAGATTTCCGTAAAGTGGGGTGAATTATAAAATAGTCCACTTTTTACTCTTCTAGCTCCCATTGAGTTTCTTTTTGTAAGGTTTGACTAGACGTCGACAGAGGGAAGAAGAATGCTGGGATAATGGTTCTCAGATCACAATTTAAACTAACACCAAATCTGATTGATATTGTGAAATGTTGTGTTCATATAGTTTGCACACAGAGAGTCTGAATAATTACCTTTTTCAATGTCTAAGAAATTATAACAGAATTTGTTGGAGGAAAGAGCGCATAGATGCGGTTGTGTTTCACAAAGCTAGTTCCTTTTCTGACTTAGAAGCAAGAGTAGCAGGAAGACTCTGTCTTGTGCTCTCTCAAGCATAACACAATGGATCCAACATCTCCTGAACTGGGCTGTGGTTCTCAGAAGAAACTCAAGGGCCCTGCCAGGGCGCATATAGTTTGTTTTTGTCTCCAACCCCCCAAATCCATGGCTTCCTTCTATTGTAAACATCTGGAGCAGCATCAGCAACCTCCCCCACAGTTGTGCTTGGGGGTGATTGTATGGTCCTCTGGGCAGCTTTTACTCAGTCTTTACGACTCAGCTCCATCCAGAGTTGCCTCCTGCACGTCCTTCTCTACCTCGTCTGTGTTCACCCGCCATCTTTTGCTGCCTCTGTTACTGCCTAGTCCACTACCTACTAACTGTTCCTTTGCCTGGAGTTAGTTGGTGGTGGGTAGCTGGGTTCTGAGTCCTGAGGAAGAGGATTACAGTAGAATGTACGTTTCTCTGGTTAGTCGTTGCGAGTGCCTTGAACCTGGGAAGGGAAGAGGGTATATCAAGCTGCTTCCACCACATATCCAAGCAGAACCAGCTAGCCTGCTTTCTGTCCCCTCTAACGCTAGTGCAGTAACGTGCTGTATGGGAAGAAGTAAATGATTTAATAGACAGATGCCTGGTTTCTGATCCTGGCTCCATTCCCTCATACACAAAATGAGAAAGTTGTACAAAGATAATCAAGGGTCCCTTAAGAACTCCAGCTTTAGGCCGGGCACTATGGCTCACGCCTGTAATCCCAGCACTTTGAGAGGCCGAGGCAGACAGATCACAAGGTCAGGAGATCGAGACCATCCTGGCTAACATGGTGAAACCCCGTCTCTTCTAAAAATACAAAAAATTAGCCAGGCATGGTGGCAGGTGCCTGTAGTCCCAGCTACTCTGGAGGCTGAAGCAGGAGAATGGCGTGAACCCAGGAGGTGGAGCTTGCAGTGAGCTGAGATCACGCCACTGCACTCCAGCCTGGGAGACAGAGCAAGACTCTGTCTCAAAAAAAAAAAAAAAAAAAAAAACAACTTCAGCTTTGGAAATTCAGTGATATATTCCCTTTTGAGGGATGCACTTTACTGTATTCATTTCACATGTGAATTTTAGAATCACAGGAACAGGCTCAAATTCCGGATATGCCCTTTATAATCTGTGTCATCTAGGACAAGTTGCTTAACCTATCTTTGCCTTAGTTTCTCTTCTATAAATTAGAGTTTCTCTAAGTATTAAATAGCATGATACCTTTATTTAAAAAGTGCTTGATCCACTGCCCTATGCAGCAGAAGGGTAATTTCACATTGTAGTCATTATTGTTATGTGAGTTTCTTCTCCAGTAGTCTCTGTAGTCACTTGTTATACTTTAAAAAACTTTTAATTATATGTGAACTTAGTTTTCATAATACAGCTATTTCCTCTGTTTTTTTAAAGTCCATCATAGTCTATCA